CCCCAAAACCCCAAAACCCCAAAACCCCAAAACCCCAAAACCCCAAATAAACTTCAAATCCTAGTTAATATAAATAAAATAGAACCTAAATGGAAGAGAAGAAGTACTCTAAAGGAGAAATTGTATGGGGAAAGGTAAGAATTAAACCCTTCAGGGTCTCTAATCCCTCTAGATTCGTGGATATCCCTGGTGGCCAGCTCAGATCATCAAGATTATTAAGAAAAATGGTCGGAATGATAACACTAAGTACAAATGTGTATATCTGAATGACTCAACTCATTCAGAGTTGTATTAGGCAGTAGTATGAAACCCTTCAGAGAATTCTTCGCTCAACTTTCCAAGAAAGTAAAACAAAAATCACTCAAAGATGCTATTAAAATGGCTGACAACAAGGATAAGGCCAGACAGGAGGGTAAGCCCTATTTTCTTATTCTAGATCCTAATCTAAAAGATTATAAGAGTGAGACTGACTCGATTATTGAAAGCTTAGGCTCTGGAGAAGAAGAACAGAGCGAGGAAGAAATTTCAGTAAAATAAGAACTTCCTTGCAAAGTCAAAGAAGCAAGAATCCAAAGAGGAAAGCAAGGAAGAGTCAATTCTAGAAGATCCTCCAATTGAAGAAAATAAGTCTGATGACAAAATGGATGAGGATTCAGAAGATAAGAAGGAAGTAGAAAAAGAAGAGAATAAAGATGAGGATTCTGACTATAAAGCTGATAATCCTTCTGATATTATATCTGGAAAATCTAGTGAAAAGGAAAAGAAATCTACTCCTAAAAGAGTCACCAGGAAAAGGCTTAGAAGGGAAATAAAAGATTTGGAATCTCCTGAAGTCAAAACCACTCCAAAGAAGAAGAGAGGACCTTATAAGAAGAAGGATGCTTCGCCTAAGAGAAGCTTAAGGGAGAGGAGGAGCAAGAAAGTTTTGAGTGACAATGAATTCCATCTCTCTGAAAAGATAAATAAGAGCAGCTCTAAGAGTAAGGATAACCATATCTCGCATTCAAGTATGCTAACTAATAACTTAGCCTCTCCTTATGCTCGTTTTGAAATATGGATAGGGATTATTAACTTAACATAGCAACTCCAAAGAAGTCTCATCTCCAAAGTAACAGAGAAAGAACATCAAAAGCAACACAGGAGCTTCAGAAGCTTGCTTTAATAAGAACGAAGCTTGATAACGTACTAAAGGAGAAATTCACTTCGATTGATTTAGTAGCTGAGGAGAACTCAGATAAAATATTTGAAGATTTTGAATTTCTTTCCCGAAAAGAAATCGATGTGAAGTCACTATGAATGACTGGAATCTGTAAAAGCCTACACAAATTTCAGAGATACTGTAAACAGAAATACAAAAGGTATAAGGAGAAGAAACAAGATCCTTCTTATTCCCTCTTAAGTACAGAGAAGAAAGCTCAAGATGCACAGTGATTAAAAATCTTACAGAAAATAGTCGACCATAGCAAGAAAATCCTACATAAATTTAGAGATCTGGTCAATGAGTACTTCTTTGACTATACAGTAGGATTTGATGAGTCTGGGTTCAAGTAGAGATTCCATACTTAAAAATTTAATTTTCAATATCTCTTCATAAGCGCGGGGTTTTGGGGTTTTGGGGTTTTGGGGTTTTGGGG